TCACCTAATGAACAAATCTTGTCGACTATCATTATCAATTCAGAAATGTGTTTTGAGAAATGATGGCATCAGTGCGATAATTCTTCCCATGCAAAATTTGCGAAGGTGTATTGATATCATTTGTCATTTGATTAAGTGATTTTTATTAGAGATAATACTAAGGCAGAGGTCGGGACTTTATGATTTATATGATGGAGTCAGGTGGGGTGTAGAAGAAATGTTAAGGCTTGAAAACAAATCTTCAAAAAAACTTTCAAAAACTCTAAGACCGCGTTCTATCAACATTTACCCCAGTATGAGTAAATAAAACTGAAAAAATTGCCCCAGTTTGGCTTTGAATCTTTTTTTCTTTTTCATCTCTTTTTTTTATGACAAATAGGAGATAAAAATTTACCCCAGAATGTAGTTTGCAATCTTTAAGGGGGGGCTATCAAATGAATGATTAAGTTATTCTGAAGGTTCGAAGGGAAAAATCAGGGGTGAAATGTTCAAAGAGAAAAGAAGAAGACCCGCCTTTAATCCACCTTAGATGGTGTCTCAAAAAGAAAAATCACATAATCAGATAAAGAATTTCTTACACATGTCTAAATTGATTAGCAGAGGAAAGACCTGTCCATCCAGGTCTGTGAGAATGGACGTTCCTCCAGATAGCACTCTTTGAACAATAAATGACCATTGCCGAGTTGGAGCAAAATTTTCTTTAACCTCCTCTTGAATCGGAAGAATTTACTTCAAAACCTTATCCCTTATTTCAAATAAGCGAAATTTGTTTTTCTTGTCATAAACAATGAATCATCCTTTGTTGATAGCGTTGTCCATGACAAACATTTAACCTCTTTTTCATCAATTAGAGGCACGAACTCATTGTGCTCCTTGATCCATTTGATTTCTTCTGCCTAAGCATTTGTCAACATGTGCAAGAACGGGATCTCAATTTGGCAGGTATTATCACTTCCATTCGAAGCATAAGAGAATAAGGTGTTGTCTCAACTTAGAAATGTAATTTCCAAGTGAAATGCTCCCAGAGTTCAATAGAAAAAAAATTTGTAAAATCAAAGGAAAAACTTTTTTTTTTAACTCCCTTTTTTCCTTTCTCTCCCTTTTTTCCTTTTTCTCTTTTTTGTCTTCTTTTTCTTTTTTTTTCTTCTTTTTTTTTCAGTCCCCCCTTTTTTCTGTTCTCTTCTTTTTTCTTTTTTTTTTGTTTTCTTTTCTTTTTCTTTATTCCCCCTTTTTTCTTTTCTCTTCTTTTTTTTCAATCCCCCTTTCCTTTCTTTTCTCTTTTATTTTTCAAGTTGGCTGCTGAAATATGTACTCCTTTTGAGTAAATAGCCGATCCTCTACTTTGCAAATGTAGCATTATTGCTCGATTTTTATTTGTGATTAATCTCCAAATTTGCAAGTTTTGAATTGCACTTTTTCCTCGATCTCAACCATAAACACCTGCATAAGGGGAATTTTTTAATTTTTAATTTTTGTTTTGTTTTTTTTAGCAATGATGTAACAATTAAGATTCATACAAAGTATTGACTTATCAAGATTTTAAAAATATATACTTGATCTTGGACATACCCTACAAATGTATTATAAAATTTTTGCCTCAATTTGAACTTATTTGGTGAAATCTCACAGATATTACAAAAAAAATTGCCCCGATTTGGGCTTATTCTAGTTGCAAAATAATCACATACAATGTGAATAGAAACTACATTTTTCAAATGAAGAATTTAAATATCATATCCAAACTCATGTAGAAGATTCCATGATAAATCCCTCAAAATATGACCAAATTGAAAAAGATTTCTTCCTTGTTTTGGGATTGGTGTTGAGGGAAAATGATCACTTTTCTTATGAGCTCATCTTTTAGAACCAATCAAATGGATATTATTCAGGATTTTGAGATGGCTTAAGGGAATGGTATGTCAGAATCTGTCTTTTTTTTTTTGTGCCCAAATTGTATCCAACACATTCAATATCGCATCTTGGTGAAAGCAAATAACTTATCACTCTTATTTTTTGAGAAAACTCAGTCAACATATAAGCTTTATAGGCTTGTAATATACGGGTAGAAACGATAGCTAAATATATGAAAATAGTTTATGGCCTTATGATCATGAGTGATTGGTAGATTCCTTAGAGGCAAGATTTTCACTTCAAATTGTCATGAAAGATAAGTCAGCAATGGACTTTATAAGCTTGTAATGTAGTTTGACAACGATGGCTAAAAAAACTTTCAAGGACAATGCACTTAAAATCGCATTTCTTCCCAAAAATTGCCACAGTTTTGGACTTAAAATCAGGAATTCCATTTTGACTCCCTTTTTCTTATCAATTCTCTTTTTTTCTTCAACAATCACTAAGGGGAATGTAGCATTGGATGTCTTCGCATTTTTCTTTTTTTTTTCATCATTTTTTCACATTTTTCTTTTCTCTCTTTTTTTTTTACCAATACTGATATCCCAATGTCAACGATAGAATTGAAAACTCCTAATTTGAAGTGTAGATGGCCCCTCTTTCTTTTCAATATTGAAGACCAAATATCAATGGTTGAGTCAAATTCCCTTAACTTGTAGCATTTTCTCCTTTCTTCTTTTTTTTTCTTTTTGAAATCTCCTTCCCCAGTGTGGGGGTGCAATCGTAAGTACTTTTGAAACGAACCACTAATTTAGGCTCAAATGAGGATGCAAAGGATAAAAGTGTTTAGATGGTAGAAACGATGGCCAAAACATCATTCTTATTTCTCATGACAACCAAAGTAAAGAATAACCCGTTGGAAAAATCCATTTCCATTTGACATTCGAAAATTTTTCCATGGAGGGTCATGATCACTGAGGCTTTTATTTGAAACGAAATTCTATTTTTTTGAAGTCTCAAATGGGAAAATAAATGATAAAATCTGTATAGCTAGAGAAACGAAAGCCTAAAGTATCATTCCAAATTTCCAAAACAAATAAGAAGTAATGTATATTTTTGCTTTCACTCAGATGTTGATTGAATCTGGTTAGACATACTTGCCATTTTCACAGTAAAATTGTCTCACTTTGAAGCTAGTCAATCAATGCGACTGACTTTGGAGGTTCAATAGAAGTGGACAAAAAAATGAAAAAGAAAAGTGTCGGGGTTGATATTTTATAACAAACTATCAAATTTGAATGACCCCTCTTTATTTTTGACTACTCTTATTGAATAGTTTAGACCACAAATTTAGTGTATGCAAAGAATTTTAGGGATTGGACATACACTCATGAATTTTCGAACAAGAGGTTGAAAAATCTCAATTTAGTCTTATTTTTTAAAATCTATCATGAAATCTCCCAATGAGCAAATAAAGAATGAATATATACAAAACAATAATTGTCTAAATAAAAACTTTATTATTCAAATGTTTGAAAATTTTTTTTTCAAATATAATACATGTGAGAAAATGAAAATCTCTAAAGAATACACTTTTAAATATATACACACTTTCTCTTTCTATTTTTTGAGACAAAATGTATTAGAAACAATGAATCAAAAGATTTTTGAGATGCTTTAAACTGGCATTTTCAAATGGATTTTTCATTCATTTTTTGCATTTTTTTTTACATTATAAGATCTGCCCAAGAATCAAGTAACACTTGTAATTTTTCAAAATTTATCAGACCCAAAAATATTATCAGATATAAGAAAAATATTTTTACCTTGTTGAAATAACTTTTATAAATGCAGGGGAGGGGAGAAAATTAAAGAAAAATACCCAGAGTTAGTAAGCAAAACTGTAAAATCGGTATGTATGTCCTGTGGGGGAGCCCTTGTATGCCAAGGGTTGGCCTAGCATGAAAAATGCAATTCTCTGGAGTAGGCATCATACAATACCTGATAGATCCGATCGACATATTGAGATTCAATTAAAAGACAATTTTGAAAAAATTGGATAATTGGAGTGACAAGAGACAATTTGTCTTAACAAAATGAGGACAAAGTCCAAATGGATTGATTGCTTTGATTGACACATAAAATGATATCAAAATCAATTTAATGTGAAAAACTTATTTTTTTTAACGATTGAAATGTCTCGATTAATTTCTTTAGTGAAATGGATCGAATGAAATTGATGGTTTATTCAAAATTGACTTGATCACCCTAAAAAGGGTAAACTGGTTAAATGAATTGAATGAAATTGATGATTTATCAAAAAATGAAATTAAAAATGAGCAAAATTATATGGAGTGGATGGTCTATCCAAAAAATTGACTTAATCATCTTAGATATAAAAATAGGGTGAATGGAATTGATGGTTTATTTGAAAGTTGACTAGATTGTCAACCATTGGTAGTTCCAAAAAATTCATTGTGATGCATTAATCTATGAGTTTTCTAAAATCAAGATTTGACCTTGAAATATTTATCATCTCAACAATGAGGAATTTGTGAATTTCTTCAACTTAATGTCCTTTACGCAAGGGGTTTTTTACCAATTATGATAAAATGGCCAAAAAGTGATTATTAAAGGCTCATATTCTAATGCGTAAAAACTGTTCCATCATTCTCGATGTCGTCACACGGAAGGGATCGAATCCTACCTTACCTTGTGCACTACCCCTTTTGGATGGTACAAAAATATAAACATGCAAATCCCATTGGATTATATATCTGAGACAAAATGTGGCTTATTCCTAACGTGGGATTCCCTAAATGGCATTCCTTCTATGGTTGATGCATGATGCCAGTTTATTAAAACGTATGAAATAATTAAAATATGACCTAAAAGTGCCCCATGTAAATGCCGGAGTTGTGGCGACCCCACTTCCCCCTAAGGCGAACCAAAGGGTTGGCGGGCCGTTTGCCCAACTCTCGCCAGGACTCACGCAAGCATTCTAACCCAAAACCTTTCGAAGAATAACCTAATCTATTACAAAACAATTCCTCCGAAGAAGACCGTCACTAAAACCACATTAACTTCAGAGATAGCAGTGATTTAAAATAGCCAAACGACGGCTCCTAAACATTTCACGCGTTGCGAACTGCGGAATAGAATCGTACCGTCCCAACTAAGAAAAAAATTCATATAACAAAATACAACAATCAAGTCAAACATCCAAATTAAGTTTTACACATTTTCCAGCTTCAAATGGCAATCCAAAATAAAAAGTACATTATCCAAATTTAACACACTACAGCCCACACAAATAGTCATAGTATACAAATACATCCCAAAACGAAACATGGATAAGTTTCAAACCTTTCACTTTCCAGAACCTGTCAAGGAAAACAAATAAACGTGGGGTGAGCTAAAACTCAGTGGTGCCCCAAAACATGCAGTCACGTAAATCAAACAGCGAGTAATAACTTAACCAAATTGAACAGTTAGGAAAGCGTATAACAGCACAAGGTAGGATACAGGGGCTCTCAGGAGCCATTTTCCTCGCTTGATCACCATTCATTGTAGTTGACCCTCCGTCAACTCTCACTACTTATAGTCCATGTAGATCCACTCATTTTTACTCCTAACCCGTCACCGTTCATACCCCTGTCCCGGGCCCGAATACCGACTAAGAACGCAGTATACTCGAGATATACCCGTAGATGATTGGTCGAGGGATTCACCTAACGACGTTATTGTAGTTAGATTCATGCGTCGAGAGATTCACCTAACGACGTAACTACATTTAATTACCAGGTCAGGATAAGAGGCCCTCCCACCCTTAAGGTGTGGTACATTCCCCTGCCTAGTGATTTAGTACTTGAGATAGGATAAGAGACCCTCCCACCCTCAGGTGTGGTACATTCCCCTACTCAGTACTTAGCACGTGAGATAGGATAAGAGACCCTCCCACCCTAAGGTGTGGTACATTCCCCTACTCTGTGCTTACCAAACGCAAGCAAGATATTCACGAAAAACACTTCAAGCAAGTCACCACTCGAACGGCTAGTGTGATAAAGTACACACTGCCCACTTCGATGGATCAGAAACCATTTTCCAATTATCACATATCAAGTCAAGAAAGTACTTTAATCAAGTAAGCATAGAACAAGCAGGGACACTCACCAAGAGTGAAGTTCAGATATCAAGTTGGGAATCGAATCCTGCGTCCTCGCAATATCCTAAAATATCAAATTTTGAAACTATAAGTTTCTATTCAGTTTTTAAGCTTATACACATCGAGGTTTATCTAATGTACTACCAGTTTACTTTCTCAAAGTAATTTCAAAAATCTACTTAGGTTGAAACTTGACAAGAGAAGAAGAAATGTTTCTTATAGTTTTCCTTGAGATACTTTTCCTTAAAAAAAAGTAACTAGCATTATTTTCTTGAAATAAGTCGACAAACCACTTGATATCAGGGCTAGAAAGATACTTTGAAAGATTTCTTTAAAGTTACGGTACATGCAAAATTTGTCATTAAAACTATTTTACCTAAAATAAAGTTTCTTACCGAGCAAGTTTCTATGCTTTTAACTAAAATTATTAAAACTCGTATTTTGGAACTTTTCCTATAGTCAACTAGCCAAGAACAATTCTTGGAGAAAAGAAATGAAGTAAAACAAAGCCTAAAGTTTTAGAAACTAGTGAAATCATTTTCTAAAGGTAATAAGGCTAGTTTAAGCTTAAAGGAAGAAATATCGAGTTGACAAGGTTTAGAAAATCCCTACATGAAATTTCTAACTTTAACATATAGTGCTAAGTTTTATCGTACCATACTAGAGTGAAGATATATTTAAATAACTTGCTTAAAAACTTCTCAAGTTCACAGGGCCAAAATGGATTCCTTACGATTCCGATTTACAAGCACGTAATATTTCAGATTCGTCAATATAGCAAACTAACATTTCAAATAGAAATCTCACTAGGGTTTCAGCAATCATTAGCCCTAGATTTCCACAGATTCATTTCTGATCAAGAATAAAACGAATGACCAAGGCTTCGTCAATCATTAGCACTTGGTTTTGGCAAGCTCATATCACATTTTAACTAAAACAAAATGAAGGTAAGGCCTCCAAGAAATTCCAGCAGTTAAGATACATCACCCTTTAATATTTATAAAATCATTCAAATGGCCAAGGGCTTCATCAATCATTAGCCCTTGACAACCATCAATCACTTCCAACCACAATTCAATCAGGAATTTAAATCACAAATAAGCTAAATGTTCGATCCAAGTCAAAATTCAGTTTCATGAAGAAACAGGACCTTCAAGCAGGACAATCTACTTTGAGGAGTCACGAACAGCAGTACACATGGAGGAAAAATATGAAATTTCTACAGAACAAAGGCCTATGATTCTAGTTTCCAATGCCACTGACGGCACCTTAAACGGATTTTCCTACACCAAGATACAAGCATTTTACTGAGACTGGTCAGGGACATCCGAAAATCTGGAAACTCATTGTTCACTTGTGAAAAACTCCTTTTTCTCTTTTAAAACCATAAAACTTTTATTCAAACCATCCGTACATTTAAGTATGACATTCATACCAGCATATACCAAGGCAAATAATGCTTAATTCCCGTAAATGGTTCAGCCAAGAAATCATATATATACTAATCTGCCATCAGCTAAGTATAACAATCATCAGTTGGCAATTCAACATACAATTACTTCCTTAATTCCCTTCATTTTAAGTACAAGTCTTTCATGCATGAAGAAATCAAGGCATTATACAATATTTTACAGCTTAGTTCAGAATTTTAGAACCAAAATTCGCAGAAGAAAACTGAAAAATTCTTTTCTTCTTCACTCGGCTACACTGGAAAAATTCCAGCAGCTTAGTCCATCTTTAAACCGAATTTTCCTCGGCTGAAACACTAAATTATGTACCCAAAGCTAACATGCAAGACTAATAAATGAAGTCACTATCAATTCCAGTTTAAAACAGGGTCGGTCACCAACAAAATGTATCCAAAATTCCAGAATTAATTCCACTATTCGCAGATGACATGCATGCAACAGATTTTTGTTTTCCCTTCAAATTTCTGGCTTATACACAACTAATTGATCTCATGCAGGGCTTAATCATCCAATATTTAGCTAGCCACACACACAACCAAGAGAGTCAAATACTTTTCTAGTAAATTTCATACTACAATATCCATACAATTCCCAAAACAACTTCATCGGCTAAGCTGGAAAATTGATTAAGCAGTCCAGTAACTTCTAACAAAAATTTCCAGCCATGCAACCGAAATCCTAGCCATAAAGTTCACATGCAACACCAAATAAAAGGCTATCTATCAAATTGGCTCAAGACTAAGCTCAGATCATCACAATCAAACAAACTAAAGCTGAAATTTCCAGCTCAAACTCACGGCAGTTCCAATTTCTTTTGAAACCAAATTTTTTGGTAACTTAATTCTTCCTCCACCCGTACACCTCTCACATGCATGCCTCTAAGCAACTTCATCAACCTATAAACATCTAGTCCAGGTCCAAAATTTACCTTAGTTTGGAGCTCAACATCCTCGGCTAGCTGCAAAATGTTTTCCTCCTCTCGGTAGTCCAGAAAATGCAGACCGCTAGCTGCCTCTCTCTCCCTTGCTCTGGCTTGCAGCTGGATAAAAGAAATTTGGTTCTCAGCCTTCACCAACTCACGGATGGAAGGAGAAATGAACCGCAAGTCACTCTCTTCCTCTCTATCGTTAATCACGAGGTGAGGAGTGGATATGGAGTGGAGTGTGGTCTGAGGTGAATTGTTGCAGAGGAGGTGGTATGGAGTTGCGGTAGTGGTTTGTGATATAGAAATGAGGAGGGAGAAAGGTGAAGCTCACTCACGATTTTCTCCCTGGTTTCACTCCAGCTCACGGCAGAACCAGAAAATTTTGCAGCTCACGGCTTCTTCCCTCGGTTCCTCTTTGTCGATGATAACGAGGCCAAGAGGAAATGTGGTTGTGAGAGGGGAATTTGTGCAGAGGAAATGGAATGGCGGTTTGAGATATGAAATGGAGAGGAAGGTGTATGGTGCCGCGGTTTAGGAGAAGGGATTGAGTGTACGAGATGGTTGCGTATAGAATTAGTGAAAATGTGATTGGTCGATGGATGCGGTGATTTAAAATGCTGTCAGAGGGTTTGTTTGGCTTGCATGGAAATGTTGTGGTTGCAAGGGCATTTTAGTCTTTTCACTTTGCTCCCTAACCTCAACTTAATCCCTCAATTCTAACTTAATTCCAAAAATTATCCCCAAGTGTGATTTGAACGCCTAATTATATACCAGTATACTTAAACCATTTTTATCGAATATTTATCGATTACAATTTAATATTAAGGTTCCTAGTAATTCCTAACATTATTTAGCGATTAAATTAGTTATTAGAATTTTCAATTATTTATTCTCAAGAGATAGAGTTAGTCTAACTCGAAATTTATCAATTTAGTAATATAAAGTCAAGTGAAATAATAATTTAATACAAGTGTGTCAGTTTGCACATAAAAATTATTTTTACGCACTTATTGTGGAAACAAAGAAGGATAAGACTATAATTATCGAAATTTTCACGCCTTAAGTATGTTTAGTATATTAGTATCATGTTTATCTAAAATTCATTGGTTTTCATCTTAACGCGGAAATTCCTATTAACATTTAACATTAGCAACTAAATGGAATTAATCATTGGAATTTAAATAATTTGTTTTAAGGTAGTATGGTTATCGACTCAAGTGTCATTAATATAGCATAAGGGAATTTAAGTATTCTAACATTATATGTCAAGGCGAAAAAATTTAATCTAACTCTAAAGATATTAATTTGATCTAGCAAAATCAAGAAATTTCATAACTTAGGAAAATTATATTATTTTCGCATAAACCTGTTTTTACGTACTTAATTACGAATAAGTAAAAGTAATGCTAGAAATTATTAAGGAATAAAAGTAATGCAAATGAAATATGCACTGGCTTATATATCTATTTCCAGGGTTCTCACATCCTCCCCTCCTTACAAAGAATTTTGTCCTCAAAATTCACACTTTCTAAGGAAATAAATCAGGGTACTTTTTCTGCATATTCTTGTTTCCATCGTCCTTCCCAGTAGTCAGCCAATTTCCTTTGAAATTCTACCTCATTTCGGAGAATGTCCATTTCCTTACGCATTTCTTCCAAAGTTGTCATCTTATTAGTTGGCTTAAATCAAGTAGCTAGCCTGCCAGACAAATCATAGGATCAAAATAAGCAACTATTCATACTGGAAGCTTGAGCCGTAATGCTCTTTCATCCTTTCACTAATGGTTACTCCAAAATATAAACCTTAACTACTTTCTACTTAATCCAGCGAGTTCTTAAGTATCACCGAGATTACCCTCGTTAATCACTATCACGACAGAATAAGGAAGCCTTATCCCAAAGAAAAATTTCATGTCTTAGTGCACTATTCAATACTTACCTTCAAAGTTGTTTGAAACAACAGTCATACTTCTTATTCTCACTAGGGCTTTATTATATTTCTTCGATTCATTCTTACTATTTTGAGGTCAATTTCCCCATGAAATCTAGATAGACGAATTTCAAGAGTCATTCCATTTTCGCAACTCTTTTGGTTCCTAGGTTAGTTGATTGGCCTAGAGTTTTGGTACTCCACCAACCGTTCTAAGATATCAGTCATATGGTCAGTAGGGGTAGCTACGTGGGTGGGTTCCTTCTAAAATCCCATTGATAGCATCTTTGCTGAAGTCTGTCTACCATTAGCTCTTGCAACAATTATAACATCATTAAAGGCTCAACTACTTGAATTTACAATTTATCTGCGCGTCATACTCAATTAAAAATTTTCACCCAAGATAGCATTATCAATCTGACATTATCGCTCCCTAAGCTCTATATTTCTCACAACGAGTTGATTTAAAATAAGTAATAACCAATTATGCATACATACGATTGCGGTTAATTTCACTCCATATATATCATTAATACCAAGCAAATTCATGATCAATTTAATTACATCACAGAACAAAGTCAATTACAACATATATCTAGCTCGAGTACACTCTAATCAGAAATCAAGCAAATCTCTTTTTAAGTGCATTCAATATCCAAACATGGCAAAGTTCCGACTCCAACATCCCATCCTATTGATTTCTATCCGTAATAGAGTTGGTAAATC